AAACCTCATTTACTCCTATTTAGGGTAATTTCCCTTTCTTTTTTTGTGAAAATGGCACAAAATAATGAAGATGGCGCTTCATTTTAGATGATATCATATACATATACATACATATATATATACATATATATATATGTATATACATAGGGAGCGGTTCCGTTAAGAACGGACTCCCAGAGAGAAATGAGAATGAATCTGGACCGTTGGATTGTATCATGTGGATCTGGATTGTGCATTTGGTGAAACTGAAATGTGCATCAGATGATATTGAAATGTGCAGAATAAAAAATTAAACTCAAGTGTGCATTAGGCGAAACTGAAATGTGCGAAATGAAAGGTACAAAAAACATCACATTGTACCTTTTATTCTGCACATTTCAGTTTTACCTAATGCACATTTGAATTTCACCTAATGCACAATTCAGCTTCACCAAATGTCACTGTATCATATCTTTTGTGTTGCACATTTCAATTTCACTTAATGCACATTACAGTTTCATCTAATGAACATTGAATTTCACTTAAAGCAAATCTAACGGTCAAGATCCATTCTCATTTCTCTCCTAAGATCATGATTTATTTGAACCAAAACCTATATATATGTATATATATGTATGTATATATATATGTATGTATGTATATAGGGAGCGGTTCCGGTAAGAACAGATTCCCAGGAGAGAAATGAGAATGAATCTGGACCGTTAGATTGTATTATGTGAAATTGAATTGTGCATTTGGTGAAACTGAAATGTGTTTTAGATGATATTGAAATGTGCAGAATAAAAATTAAAATTCAAGTGTGCATTAGGTGAAACTGAAATGTGCGGAATAAAAGGTACATAAATAACATCACAGCGTACCTTTTATTTCAGCACATTTCAGTTTCACCTAGTGCATATTTCAATTTCACCTAATGCACAATTCAGCTTCACATAATGTCACTGTATCGTATCATTTGTGCTGGACATTTCAATTTCATCTAATGCACATTACAGTTTCATCTAATGCATATTGAATTTCACTTAAAGCAAATCTAACGGTCCAAATTCGTTCTCATTTCTCTCCTAAGATCATGTTCTTATTTGAACCAAAACCTATATATATATATATATATATATATATATATATATATATATATATATATATATATATATATATATATATATATATATATATATATATATATATATATATATATATAACTAGCGTATATTTTGAATAACTAGTTTAGACAATTCAGCATTCACAATCTCAAGGATTCAATTCATACTTCCGTGAGCCTTGAGCATCCTGCTGCTAGCTCTATAAGACACTATAAAATGCTTCAATGAGTGAGTTACTTTTAACAATGTAACTACATGCAGTGAGTTACTTTTAACAATTGTTATAGTATTGCGTTTGCCAATTGTTATACTATTGTCTTTTCTGCAATCAGGTGATACTTCCAATCCATCAGTTGAAAGCAGTTAATCCTTCGGCTAGCAAAATCAATCCAGTTGAGAAGTTTATCCAAGTTATATCCATCGACAATCATGAGTTTTGGTTTATGGGATTTGTAAACTATGATAGTGCTGTCAAATGTTTGCAAGGTGCTCTGCTACGACATCCATAGCCAGTTATATCCGTCCAAGTTATATCCGTTTCCAGTTATTGCTAGATGAAAGTGTGTGGTACATGTATCTATACTCGTGTTTGATCTAATTATATAGCTGCTTGTAATAATGGGTTTGAGTTTGGCCATATTTCATTATTTGTAGAACTTATTTGTAAAGATTATTGTACTTCATGTGGGTGTTTTCGGACCATCAGACGTTGCTGTCTATGTGATTTTTGTACTCTTTAGTTGAGCAGCTAAATTGGTAGATTTCTCAATTAATATGTCATACTTTCGAGTTGTGGCCATGGAGACCTGGGCTCTAATTCCAACCATAAATTAAAATTTTTATTTTGAAAAATGTGTTGTGGCTCTTGGGCTCTTGGGCTCTTTGCCACCCAATCCCAAGTTTCTTTTGTAGGAGGACTTGAGTGTAATTCTCGCTAAAGGAAATGAGGAAAGTCTTGCTTTCGATGAGTTTCGACCTTTACGGAGTAGTTCAATGATTAAGGAGAAGAGAATGATAATTGAGGTAGCGAATACATGGGAGGAGCCGTTTGTTTATAGGTGATGTAAGTACTAAGTAGTTACACCGTAAACATTGACATTATGATTAAAAAATCAATTTACTGGTCAACATGGGCCAAAAGGGAAAGAAGTGTACGCCCAATTCCAAAATCCAGGGGTTATTTAATCCAACCTTTTCATTTCTCATATTGTGTACAAATTGGATTTGCTATTTTCATTTGATTTTTGCGATGTAATTAAACTTTGTGTGTTAATTGAATTAGTGAAGCTAATTTTATTATGTAAAGAAATTAATTTTATGATCAATATAGCCTCTTAACCTAAATTAGATAAGTAATTTGAGTTGAAGTGACTAAATGGATTTGTTCGATAACGGGTTGTCTATGACACGAAGGTGCATTCTCTTCTCAGCATTTTAGATCGATGATGTCCATGGCACGAAGTTTCAAATGGAGAGTTAGCATTGTAAATCTTGGAGTAGGACAATTTTTACTCTAAAAGGAGATTTACATCCATCCCTGAGGATCCCCTGAACCGACAAACAGTTATCTTGGTCCAAAAGGTGGAATCTCCCACCCCAGGAGCCCCCCATACCCCGACCCGACAGGATTTTTGGGAGGATGTTAATCACGGTGACAAACCGACAAACAGTTATCTAGGAGGATGTAAGTTGAGCTTTGATCTCACACTGATGAAAAGAAAGGTAGGCTCCATATCAACTCTTTACTTGAAGATGACTGGAGATCTCTCCCTATGTCCCTTGTGTCACTCTAATTTTAATACTTAGAGCCTTGTATTAAAAAAAAGAAGACACCCCATCCCTGAGGGCCCCCAATCCCGACCGGACGGTACATTGGGAGGATGTAACTTGGACTATAATCTTAATCTGACAGATAGAGAGTGGGGTTTTGTCCTCGGTACTTGCAGAGGGCCTATGCATTTTTAGCATAGTAACCCCTCATCGCAGTTGTCGGGATTCGAACCCGGAACCTAACCCTTGTGGCACTCCCTTGCTACCAGTTGAGCTACGCCGGTAGAGTCTTGTATTATGATATACTACCTCCGTCCCTTAAAACTTTGCCAAAATTGACCGGCACGGAGAATAATAAAGTAAAAACTATGTGGTTGAGGTTTGTGCAGAGGAGAGAGAAATAAAAGAAACCACAAAATATTGATTAAAAGGGAAAGTGTCAATGTTTTTTGGATCATCCTAAAAGGAAAGATACAAAGTTTTAAGGAAGGGGGAGTATGGTCTTATAAATTCTTCTAGTCATACTCTGGTTGAACATGACATTTATACAGAATATGGTGATGCTCGATCAACGCATGTCATATATCGAGATTGACAACTTGACTATAAGTTTTAGCTAAATCAAAGTAGTCGAAGATGGTTGACCAAGCTCAAAGTGGCAATTCTTGTTGTACAAATTTTACTCTTTAAACATTTGTATTCATTGTTTGTGAATACTTTTTTCCATTCCGTCACAGACAAAATGTATACAAGAATGTAAACAGTAAAGTGTGCACAAAACTCATCCCATTTGATCTGTTTTAATTTTCTTTTTTTTTGTTGTCCCAAATAAGTGTTATATTTCCTTTTTAGAAAGAAATATGTGATTCACAACATTTCACTTCATTATATTCAAATTTTAATAATAACTTTTTATATTCCGACCATTTTATTTGTTGGGAAAAAACTCCGGAATTTCCCGCTTCGTGAAGTTAAGATAGACACTTAGGAATTAAGGTAGTAATGGGAGCACACGATTTAAATTCTCCAATATGGAGATTCTTCCACTATACAAAAGAATAGTAGGATTTACAAGAATGTTACAAAATTGTCTCACTCAATGGTGGCTCACTCAAGCTTGAGGATATGACCTTCCCAAGCTAATTCTCTTCTCTCTCAAAGAGGCTCTCTAACTCTCTAGCTTTCTCACTCTAGGAAGTGGATTCTCTCTTGCTAGGATTGCTAGGATTAGGATTGGGATAGGAATGGAGGCTCCTACTCGTATTTATACTACTCCACCTCCATAATGAGTTGTGGAGAATAGTTCTCTATAATGATCTACACATGACTTTCTATTCTAGAGCATTCCAAGGAATCTCTACACCTCTCCATTCTCTTCCATATGTTTCCAGAAGGTTCCACACATCTCCAGAATATTCTAGAGGATTCCACATTATTCCGCAAGCTTCTAGACACTTCTACACTTCTCTAGGATTCTCCACAACGTTCTAGAAAATTCTATACTTCTCTAGAAAGCTCTAGAATTTTCTAGAACCTCTCCAATTAAGGAGGGATCCCAACAAATCTCCCCCTCCCGATTTAATTGGGGGGTTGTAGCAAACCTGCACCTTGACAGCAATCTTCGAACTTCTTTGTCGGTATAACCTTGGTCATTATGTCTGACCAATTCTCGTCTGTGTGAACCTTGTCAAGATGCAATTTCTTTTCTTCGAGGACTTCTCGGATCCAATGATACCTTGTATCAATGTGCACTACACTATAAATGACTTAAAGCAACACTTCAAAAATGTTGTATTACACCTTTAATGTGTTGCTTCAGGATCAATGGCAACACATTTTCATTTTTAAAAGTGTTGAAATTTTAGCCGTTGCCATTGGTGTCTATGGCAACAAATTAAAGTGTTGCAACTATTTTAGCTAAAGCAACACCATTCCTCACAAAGAGTAAGGCAACACTTTTTAATGCAAATACAATACTTTGATACTGCAAGTCGTGCAACACCTGAAGCAACATTTTGCACTAAGATTGTGATGCTTTTAACATTATTTTAAACCATTGTTTTAGCACAAACTGAAACATTTAAAATTAAAATAGTCAATATTTCAATATCTCTTAAAGCACTTTTTTAATTTCCTGAATTGCAATTCAAAATATTATACTTACCAATTCAATATATTTAATCAAAATAAAGTATCCTTCATCCATTCATATGTATCATAGCAAATAATTACAATCCAAAATTTTCAAAAAAAAAAACACCATAATTTTGATAGCAAGACTTCTAATTGTTCTTGCATCCAAAATGAGAACCAGCCTCCATAACTAATGAACAAAAAGCACATACCATCAACACCTGAAAAAAAAGTATATCAAACACCAAATCAATTCTTTGTAATATACGAAGTAAAGGAGGAAGATCAAACTAATTGCTACCATTCCATGTGTGTGAATAGGATATTAAGTTTCTACTTTAAAAAAAAGTTGAATATGGAAATGTTTCTATAAATCTCAAAGCATGTTCACAAATTAATTAAACTTCTTACAAAATACTAACCTTGAGTATGTTTCAATCTTTTAATCTCCTTTAGATGCTTCAGTCTCATTAGAATTAGAAGAGTTCGAATCATCTTGAAGTTGGTCCTTATAAACACCAAATGGCATTGCTGCACAAAGCTCCTCAACATTGACTTTCAAATTTGGATTATCGGTTGCCAATTTAGTTATAGCAAAGGCTAAGCAATGCCGAATTTGCTTGTTCATTTCATCAGCCATTTCTTCTTTTAATTTTGAAATGTTAGGAGGTGGTTCCTTCCGTTTCTTTGATCTCCCACGTCTGCCTATAAGATAATTTGGTCCATGTGATAAGTCTCCAATAAGTTGCTCAACCATCTCATTATTTTCCGGTCCGGATGAAACGAGTTGTTCAAGCCTCGCCTACACATTAGTGCACGAGTTAGTTATCACTATTCCACAAACAATCTATGATTAAATGATTAAGATACAAATTAACCCATCTTCATAAATTGCTTACAATTTTGAACTCTGTCACATCATTTAACGAAGCATACTTATGACCAGGCTTTCTCTTACGCGTTACAAGAAACAATTCTGCTTTACTTGGTTTCTCCTTGTTTGGTTTTTTAGATTGCTAACATAAAACAATGATAAAAATTAAATCACTTTACCACGGGAACATATAGAATGATACTGGTCACATAAAACATAATTGAATATCATACGAAGACACCAATTTCTAGCGAACTTGGACAAAACTTCGTGGTCCAACAGTGTGTGTGTCCTTTACTTTCTTTCGGTTGGAAGTGTTTTTCTCAGCTTTTGTCTAATAATAGAAGTTAGCAGCAAAATATACACAAGATATTTACTTTATTAATCGTTGTGCCATAGAAACAGTGTATACCTAGACTTCTTTGCATCCCTTATATTGCATGACCAACTCAAATTCATCCTTTGGTATCTCTAAAGGCCTATTTTCTATTCTCTCCTCATTAGTAGAGAACTTTTTATAATAATTCTTTTTAATCCGAGCTTTGTAACATCTCCATGTATCATTAATGGTCTTCAATACCCAACTCTTTCCTTCATCAGAAATTGTGTATTTTTCCTGGGAAAAAATTACATTTTAACCAATATACACAGTTTGTTAAACCAAATATGTCTCTAGAAGGATTAATGATTTTTAAAAAAGGTATATTACCTGGACATATGTCCACAAGGCTTCTTTGTGAGGATATGCATGCCAGTTGACACAACAAAGAGGCACACATTGCCTTGCTAAAGTTCCCAAGAAATTACTAAATTCTTAGAGTGTTTTATCATCATTTGCCACTGCTTGATTAAACTCATTCAAGTCAATAACTTTCTTTTCTTCTTCATTTCTTGTATGGACAGAAAACATTCTTGTTGGTCCTCTACATTTTTTCTCTGCCATATGGATACTTAAAATCATAATGCACCGACACATACTTCAAACTCACTGTCACTTCACTGAAATAAATAAATTACCTTGTTGGTTTTCTGCAGTACTTTTTTGAGGTGTTTCCTGTCCCTTTTCAGCATTGTCTTGTTGAGCTATTGTATCTTGCATATCGATCGAATCTCCCTCATCTTTGACTTCAATCATTTTCTTTTTCTTCTTCAAAGCTATATAAGCTGACATAGATCCTAACTCTCCATTTCCTGATTCGTTACGTTCTTTTGCAGGCCCTTTACGAGTGCACTTTTTGACTACTTCATTGATTGCCTTTTGCAAAATAAGCTTGAAAAATATAACATTGTAAGAAACGATGTAGCAAATTAATACAAACTATAGATAAATAATACCAAATTAGATTAAAAAAAAGAAATAAAAAATTGATTAATTTATACCAATAATTCAGAAAATAAATTGAGTGTCGATTACAAATTGTACCTGTGTAGAAGTGGGTACTGCACATTCATTTTCATCAAGCATTTCAAGCACATTGGATCGAGAGCGCGTTTTTGGGTGAGATGCTTCCTTTTGATGTCCATCAAGTTCTACTAGCTGTGTTATAGATAACTAATTTAGCTAAAGAATATACAAAACTACTATTATTTTACATCCTCTACCTTAGTTTTCTGATGTCCTTCTTTTAGGCTCCTTTGTTTTCTTTTCTTTTCCTTCTCTAGACCACGAGAATCCAATTCTACTGATAACTTACGCAGCCCAAGTGCAGTCAAGCGTTGATTGTTAGCTTCGATATTTTCCAATCTGGTTTGTTCATATGATTTTGTCTTGAATGGAATCATATCATCTTCACCAAGAGGCAAGTCCTGAAGACCATTTTAATGGATCAAATAGATTGGCCAAATAGTAATTAAACGTTAGTTTTCTGCTAATTACATGAATAATGAACTTACATCTTGAACAGACTTTAGAATGCAAATATTTGTCTTTGCTGGATTATTTGATCCTATAAACAAATAAGGTCATATCAGTGTTCAACCATGACAAATTAAAGATAAAATCATTTAATAAAGTCAAATATACAATTAAAATTAAGAAATTGGATAGAGGTACCTGTTAAGATACACTTTCTTGGTCTTACAATCACATGTGGTTGATTCTGATCCATTGGAGGGATTTCTTCATCAGCTACATGGTCAATCCAAAAGTGAATAACATCATCCTTTTCACGTGCAAGCACATAATTCAGAACATCACTATCGTTTGTAAGCGGTTTCCATCCGAATCTGTTCAAATTGGGAACATAAACACCTCCAATTTCTTCGAACAAGCAGTCCTCCTTCACATATTCCATCAGGACACCATATGAAAATATCTCCATGTCAATAGCATCTTTAACCTTCCTATGATATCCACCAGAGTATTTGGTCTTCAGAAATGTTCCACCAGTGATGAAGTTCAAAGAAAACACTTTATCTACCATTCTGCATTCAAATAACAGTATTTTAAGAAAACAAACTAACATTTTGCACACATTCCAAGTCAATCTCATGCACTGGTTAAGTCTAGAGAACATAAATTACATTAACAAGTTATTGAAGAAAAAGGTCAATCTTGCAATAGCTTTTGAAGTCATTCCTAGCAAAATCAACATTCAAAGTCACCTTTACAACTTAGACAATTAAAATATTTATCCTGCTATTCCAAGTAAAATACACACTTCCTAGGGCGGCCATTGAACACTTCACCCCTGATAAAACAAACCCACCCTAAAAAAATATCTATCCTCTGCAGACTATTTCTTCAGACTCGTTTAGACAGACAAACTATACAATTGTTTACATTCGCTTGTTCTTCCAGCTAGCAGCTAGCAAGGCCATGGTTCAACAAGTCTCTTTATTAGACATTATTGCTAATTTAACATTATTGCTAATTTAATTTCCTATACATGATTGAAGAAATAAAAACTAAAAAGTAATATATTGTAAATATTATTTAACACCCATATACGAAATTGAATAGATAACTACTTGAACCCGTATTGCTATATTAGATAGGAAGATTTCCTTGGGAACTACTCCGTATAAATTTGGACATTTTGAAGAAAAAGCCAACTTTGCAACCTATTGATGAGGCTTCTGAAGTGCTTCCTAGCAAAATCAATCTTCAAAGTCACCTCTAACAACTAAATACGTATCCTGGTACCTGCTCCGGTCACCAAACATGAAAAAGTATAGTCACATAACCATTCCAAGTCAAATAACTTTAATATATTAAAAAATAGATTAAAAACTAAAACTGAAATGAAAACGTAAAAAACAAAAGCTCCAATTTATCACAAGTGTAAAGATTGAACAAATTAGCATATGTACCAAACAAAATTTTCATAACCCTAACCTTGTGTGAATCGGAGTCAATGGAATAGAAGAATCTTGATGTTCCTAGGCGGAAGATAGAAGACGAAGCTGCAGATTTTAGCTACAAAGAGGACGGTACAGTGTTGCACTAAAAGGAAATAGCAAACCCATGTTGGCGGCGGAAGAGAAATTTAGAGGATAGTTGAAGGTCAAGAAAAAGATTGCTAAGGACACATTTTCAGGGAAAAGCACTACCTTTAGCGGGAAAGATTGAGAGAGCTGGGGAAAATCCCAAAAAGAGTTGCTTTCCCTCCACTTTTTTTGTTAAGACCCAAATAGTCTAGAAATGAAAAAATTAATTAAGTGAAAATGTTTAAGAAAAATACCATAGTTTTAAAAAAAAAAAATCATTCACTCCAAGTAAAAACCCAGTTTGGACTACATCACATTAGACCAGTTAAGATCAGGCCAGATCAAACCGGAACAAATCAAACCGGAATAGATCAAACTAGACCAGAAAAATTCAGTCCAAGTAAAAACATCGTTAATAATATTTTTATTTGGACTAAAAATTTCTGGTCTGATCATGTCTCATAAATGTTTGGTCTGATCTGGTTTGGTTCGCGAATGAAATCAATCCAAATAAAAACATTCTAAATAGTTTGAACGTGTGCATATTACTCCTTTGTTTTATTATTTTTATATAATTAACTTTAATTTAAAACACATTAAATATATGGTATTGACTTTTTATATTTTATTAAAATGTGCTCATTTTGTTCTACATCGTTTTAGTAGGTAACTTTTTTTTAATGTTGCCATAAATAGCCTCTATTAGAACCATTGTTCAGGACTACACACGCTAGTGCAGCATTTATTAGAAAAGAATTGTCTAAGGCAACACTTCTTATTTAATGATGTCTTACACTTTAATTTTTTGTAGCCTTTACCCAAAATTTAGGAGCAACACTTTAAATTAGTGTTGTTACAGGTCATTTATGGTGTAGTGGTGCTTCGTGCGGGAATGAAATGTTGAGTTCTTCGCCAAGTAAATTGCACTTTGATTGTCGCACTTCAACATGTACCTTTCTTGATCTATTCCCAGCTCGAGCAACATGTTCTTCATCCACAGCATCTCCTTGCAAGCTTCAGTAGCTGCGATGTACTCTGCCTTTGTGGTGGATAATGCAACACTCTTTTGCAGCTTTGATTGCCAGGAAACAGCTCCCCCTGCAAAAGTAGTTAGGTATCCCGATGTTGATTTTCTTGAATCAATATCACCGGTCAAGTCTGCATCTGTGTATCCTTCTAACACAAGTTTTCCTTTTCCAAAGCATAAACATCTTTTGGAAGTTCCACGTAAATACCGGAGGATCCATTTGACCGCTACCCAATGTTCACTCCCAGGATTGGCCAAGAAACGACTAACGACTCCAACTGCATAGGCGATATCTGGTCTTGTGCATATCATTGCATACATGAGGCTGCCTACTACAGATGAGTATGGAATCTTCTTCATTTCCTCCTTTTCTTTCTCACTTGTGGGACTTTGCTTCGAACTCAACCTGAAGTGTCCAACAAGTGGTGTGTTTACCGGCTTTGATTTGTTCATGTTGAACCGTTCCAACACTTTCTCAATGTACCTCTCTTGGGATAGCCACAACAGTCTCTTCGATCTATCACGAGTTATTCTCATCCCAAGGATTTGTTTAGCCGGTCCCAAATCTTTCATGGTGAAGCTCTTGCTTAGATCTTTCTTCAAAGCATCTATCTTTACGCGATCTTGTCCAACAATCAACATATCATCAACATAGAGTAGAAGTATGAGAAAGTCGCCACTTGCATACCTCTTTATGAAGACATAATGATCGCTCTTTGTCTTTGTAAAATCATGCTCTGCCATGAAGGACTCAAACTTCTTGTACCACTGCCTCGGTGCTTGCTTGAGGCCATATAAACTCTTCATGAGGCGACATACTAGGTTTTCCTTACCCGAAACTGTGAACCTCTCGGGCTGCTCCATGTAGATCTCTTCCTCTAGGTCGCCGTGAAGGAACGCTGTCTTGACATCGAGTTGTTCAATCTCCAAATCTCGTACCGCTGCTAGGCCAAGGACAACTCGGATAGATGACATCTTTACCACGAGAGAGAATATTTCCTCAAAGTCGATGCCTTTTTCTTGACTGAATCCTTTGACAACCAATCGAGCTTTGTAACGAGGCTTTGAGCTGTTGTCTTCGGTCTTGATTCGATACACCCATTTATTCTTCAAGGCTCTTCTCCCTTTTGGCAGCTCCACAAGTTCATAAGTGTGATTCTCATGCAAGGATTGCATCTCTTCTTGCATGGCTCTTCTCCACTCTTCCTCATGAACATCACAGATTGCTTCTTTATAGCTTTGTGGCTCCCCCTCATCCGTGAGCATCACGTACTCCTCGGTGTTGTACCGAGTGGATGGTCTTCTCTCCCTTGAGGATCGCCTCGGCTCTGGTGCTGGCAGAGAACTAGATTGAGGATCTTCCTGAGTTGGTTCATCATGAGTCTCCTGGTTTCTTTGTTCTAACACAGGCTCATGGTCTTCAACATTATTGTCTTGATGTGGATCAGTATCCTCACATCGAACTTGCGTAGGTCCGGTGCTCCTGCTGCTTCTCAATCTTGGCTTCTCCGAGATTTTAATGTCTTCAATTGTTTGGTCTTCGAAGAACACCACATCTCTGCTACGAGCAACCTTCTTGTTGATTGGATCCCATAGCCGATAGCCGAATTCATCCTTGGGTGAGCGAAGGTATATGCACTCCTTCGTCTTTGCGTCGAGCTTAGCTCGCTCGTCTTTGGGGATGTGAACAAATGCTCTGCACCCGAACACCTTAAGATGATTGTATGAAGCCTTTTTACCCGTCCATACTTCCTCTGGGATGGCGCCGTTCAAAGGAACCGATGGTGTGAGGTTGACGATGTCAACTACGGCCATTATAGCTTCTCCCCAAAAGAATTTGGGTAACTTAGCCTGAGAGAGCACACAACGGACTCTTTCTTCAATAGTTCTATTCATTCTCTCAGCTAGCTCATTCAATTGTGGTGTCTTGGGTGGAGTCTTCTCTAGCCTAATGCCATATTTCTTGCAATAGGCTTCAAAGGGACCTCTATACTCACCTCCATTGTCAGATCGTACACACTTGATCTTCCTTCCTGTCTCACGTTCTATAAGAGCGTGGAATTCCTTGAAAGCTTCAAGTACTTGATCCTTTGATTTTAACAGGTGCAACCATACCTTCCTTGAATGATCATCAATGAAGGTCACAAAGTACAACGCACCACCAATAGATCTCTCGGACATTGAGCACACATCGGTGTGTACAAGGTCGAGGATGTTCTTTCTCCTTGTGGGCAGAGAAGATCTTTGGAAAGCAACCCTTTGTTGTTTTCCAGCTAAACAGTGTGCACAAGGATCAAGTGACTTACCTTTCACGTCCGGGAGGAGTTGTTTCCGAGCAAGTATGTGAAGGCCCTTCTCACTGATGTGACCAAGTCGTTTATGCCATACTTCCATGTCATCAGTGGTTATATTTACCTCTCCTTTGCAGAGCTTAGCTTGCATCACATACATTCATACAACGATCCTTCCTTCTTTCCTCTAGCCATGACTAGACTTCCTTTGGTGAGATTCCATTTTCCTTCACCAAAGTAATTCATCAGACCAGCATCATCTAACTTTCCAGCAGAGATAAGATTGAGGCGCATGGCCGGGACATGCCTCACATCTTTGAGAACAAGCTTGCATCTGGTGCTAGTTGTCAGGACGATGTCTCCTATCCCAACGATCTTGCTCCTATCTTGGTTTCCCATTTGAACCGTACCGAAGTCACCACTTTGGTAGGATGAGAAGAAACTTCCATGGGGAGTGACATGGAACGAAGCACCAGAATCGATAATCCAGGAACTATCATCACAAGCAATGTTTAGGATATTACCTTCTCCAACGAGATATAGCAGATCTTCTTTTGCGACTACGGCAGTGGTACTCTTCTCTTCTTGCTTCTTCGTTGGGGTGACTTGGTCTGGTTTGACGTTACCGGCCTTCTGGTCTCTCTTGAAGGATCGACACTCCATTTTCCTGTGGCCCATTCTTCCACAGTAGTAGCATGTGATCTTCGAGCGTGACTTGGACCTACCTCGAGATTGTTGCGGATCTCGGCTTTTACTGCGTCCACGAGTCTCATTCCTACCCCGGTTCTCGATAACATTAGCCTCAGGATGCATAGACTCACCTCATTCCATTCTCCTTGATTCTTCACCAAGAAGACTATCACTGACGGTGTACATGGTTAGCTTTCCTTCCGGAGCTGAGTTACTAAGTGTAGCCACGAGTGTGTCCCAACTTTCTGGCAAGGAACTAAGGAGTAGAAGGGCTTGCAACTCGTCATCAATCTTCATCTCGATTTTTGTTAGTTGATTTACGAGCCCCTTGAAGTTATTCAAGTGTTCAATCATACTTTGACCATCCTTATACTCCAATTTCACCAACCGTCGAACTAAATTGGTTTTATTACGAGGTGTCTTCTTTTGAAACATGGACTCAAGTTTTGTCCATAATTCATAAGCATTCGTGTAAGTGGACACATGCTCGAAGAGGGATTTGTCGATGTACTTACGGATCATAGCAACGGCTTTCCGATTCAGTAGCACCCATTGAGCGTCACTCTTGCCTTCCATCTTCTCTTTGTAGATGATGGGCTCATGCAAATCTTTGCAGTATAAATGGTCTTCCATCATTGGCTTCCAATATGAGTAGTTGTTGGCAGTTAGCTTGAACATGTCTCCATCATGGGCGACGCTATCCTCCATCTTGAACTACACGAGCTGATGAAAACCTCGAATGAACCTGGCTATGATACCACTGTTGGGAAAAAACTCCGGAATTTCCCGCTTCGTGAAGTTAAGATAGGCACTTAGGAATTAAGGTAGTAATGGGAGCACACGATTTAAATTCTCCAATATGGAGATTCTTCCACTATACAAAAGAATAGTAGGATTTACAGGAATGTTACAAAATTGTCTCACTCAGTGGTGGCTCACTCAAGCTTGAGGATATGACCTTCCCAAGCTAACTCTCTTCTCTCTCAAAGAGGCTCTCTAACTCTCTAGCTTTCTCACTCTAGGAAGTGGATTCTCTCTTGCTAGGGTTGCTAGGATTAGGATTGGGATAGGAATGGAGGCTCCTACTCCTATTTATACTACTCCACCTCCATAATGAGTTGTGGAGAATAGTTCTCTAGA